TTTACTCTAGCACTGTATAGTTTAAAATTAATTATATATAGATTATAAATACGCATTTAATTGCTTGGTGTGTTTAATAGCAAATCAAGATATACCAACTACGATGCTGATCCATAACAATTACGATAAATCAATTCTGAAAGTAGATGAAGAGAAGAAACAGCAGTACTTTAAAAGAAACACAGTGGAAACTTAAAATATAAACATAGGTGCACCTTTGTAATTTAATTAATTAACCAGAACATTCTTTTTGACATGAACAGTGATAAATATTTTAATAATAAGAAATATTAAAAAATTTCATATTGGTTATTAATTGAATGAGATTCACCTTCCTAGTATCAAGCAAATCCAATTTTTTATAACTATTTCAGTGCATTTTTTACTTAGTACACTATAGCTTCTTCTACTAGTGCAATAACCAATCATTATACCTATTTTCTGTGGTGAATACAAAGCCTTATAATGTAGGTAGACTGAGGGCTACACAATACCGAAACCAGCTACCTCATCGCGTGACCCGTTGACTGATTCACTCCTTTTGCGAATCTACACAATGTTATTTCAAGAAGCTATTCATTTTTAATAATTTTTTTATATAATCAGGAAATGAAACAAAAAGCTAACTTTTTATCTCTAATCTCTAAAATAAGTACAAATTATAAAATCCAAATATAATGATTGTTCATAACCCATGAATTTAATTAGGTGGGGTCTGATCTGTTGGAGTTTATTTTATTTCAGTTCTTAAAGTTTGCAGTGGCAATATGAGTTCATTTAAACAAACATTCAACTTGAAACTATTCATCATATTTTGTTTATGTTTTAACAGACAGAAATAATCAATTAGATCTGTTGCAATTCAATTATAAAGAAAATAAATAAATTTTTGCCAAACCAATTGTTGATCAATTAAGAAATACGAATATGCAATGCAATATAAATACATTTATTTACTGAAATTGCAAATAATTTATAGTTTTATTTTAATTAGACTTGTAATTTGTGAACTACTCAGAAAAATCATTATCTGAATTTATATTATTGAATAATTAAACATATTTTTTATGTGCACATATTTGTAAGTAACAAATTCTTGAAGTATGATATACAAAACAATTTCTCTATCAGAATATTGTGGAAGAATTAAAAGATTCAAGTTATAATTATATTTATTTACCCGAATAACATATACTTCAAAATCATATTTAATGTTTAAGTTAGGAATTGTTTATGAGGAGTTATTAAACTTAGCTCAAAATATTCTAAACTTTTTCCCAACTTGCTAGATGCTAGTGATAAAATATACGAATGAAAGTTGAATAATCGATGTCAGAAATATTTATTCAATTTTTTTTTAAAAAGTAATTTCGTCATTAAGGGTAGTCAACGTTTATCTTAAAATTTGGTGCTACGAGAAAAAGGCAAAAAATAAAGCACCATCTCAAAAAGCATTTTATGAAATCGAGAAAATATGTTTTTATACCTACTGTTATTGCCAAATATAGGGATAAGTAGCCAACATTGCTTATTGTTCCTTCTTTTCCACCATGTGATGAGGGGATTATTCAGATAGATGTTAGTTACAAAGTGAGTGTGATTTCAGGATTGAGAGAGCAGTCTACGTACATTATTAGTCTATGAGTGATAGTTTCAGAAAAACTGCATAAATGGGCTTTTTTCATTTAATTTTTTTTTTCATTTAGTCATTCATTTCAGTTTTTTTTTCACCTTCTTCATCAATTTTCAAATCTGAACTTACAAGTGTGGGACAAAAATATGGAAACACTTCTATACTAACTCTAAGTAACGTTTGTTTTAGTAACTTTAAAATTTTTCTTTTAGTAACAAATGCTTTGGAAAATTTTACATAGCAAAACTGCAAGCATGATTTGAAAGATTATGCTTGAAGCTTTTACAAATGGTGTTATTACTACCCTTACAAAATTTGCATCGACTAAAATGACCTTAAGAAATTAAAAGCTTTTTATCGATGCCGCCGTAATTAAAAAGCATTATTTTATAAATGTTTCAATATTATGGAATGTTTTCAAAATTACTGGTATTAAAGCGAGAGAGAAGTTATTAACTTCATCTCCTCATTTTGATCCATCTGAATTTTGCATTGGTAAACATGGCATCATTTCTAAAAGCTTCAAGCGTGATCTTCAAAATTGTGTAAACCATGTTTGTGTTCATGTTTTTCTTTCTTTTTTTTTGTAAACTAAATGTGTTTTGTCTTGTTAGATCCTTTGAAACGTTTTTTGTTAAAAGATAGATTGTTTGAATGTCGATGACTTTTATCGATAACTTGAGTTGTTATTTGCAATAACTGCATAAAATTTCGTAAACCGAGTTTAAATATCTATGGAGATATGGTCATTTTAATAAAATGATACTTACTTTTGTATCGTACGCTCTTTTGCTATAATTTTAAAACCATTCAATAAAATTAAACAAAATTTTTGAAGTATTTTAAAATTAACAACAAAATTTTTTAAAAATATGAAGAAAAAAAAAATCGCTGAAAACTAGCAAGATATGAGCATTTAAAGTAGGTCCTTAACAGTGCGCATGCTCGAAACAAGTTTAAAAATTCTTGTCATAATTTTGCAGTGAATCGTACTAAGCAACTAAAATAAAAAAAAGGTCTCATTTGCATTTCTAAAAAAATTAAAACGTTTCAATTAATTTTCTAAGTAGTTTTTGCACTTTTTAAAAGAAAGCTCAAAACAATAAGGGGTTTTCAACAGATTTCATTTTGCTCTTGCTGTCCGATAATTATAAGGTAGTGTAATTTTCAATACTACAAATTAAAATTTGCGGAAAGTTATTGTCCGTCCATTAAATATCTGGAAGGGCTAAACCTTATTGCTAAGTATGAAAAATCGCATGAACTAAACACTTCCAAAGTTGCAAAATAATCCTCTGAGTATTTCTAGAGAATTTTAAAAGAAGTCTTTCCTAATATTGTAGGAAATGGTAGGTAGGTGGTCAGATCTTTTAGCCCTCTATAAGGAGGGATAAACTCGATTCTTGATAATAGAGGTTGATAATAGAGAAGTGGCTTGATAATCGAGAAGTTAGACAGGTAGTTAACTTATAAGGTTGGTCAGCTCAACAGATTTTTTTAAAAATAAATATTGCCTTTATGTTTTTATGATTTGTTCTAGTCTCAAATATTTTAATTCTCTCCGCACTATATAAATCAAAAAGCACCATAGCCAATTTTAATTTTAAAAAAATTGTCCTGACTTTCTACAGGGTGCGTAACCAAATTTTTCAACAAAAATAAGCACCTTTTAAGCACTTTTCAAGCACTTAAAAATATCATAATCAGGAATAGTTCGCAAATTTTGTCAATTGACGGTTTTATCCGGTTCTAACCGTCATGCCAAAAAAAAAACTTTTGACTTAAATTTTGAAAACTGTCCAAAACTCAAAATTTTGACTTTAAGGATAATTATTAGCTATTATATAAATATGAAGTAATTTTAAATTAACATATATGTAAAATTACAAGCGTTCCATCAATTATGTTCTTGAATAATTTTACCATAAAACTCTTATTGTTTTGAAAATTTTGGTTTAAAACCCAAGCTTTGGTGTAGAAAATATTAAATAATTTTAAATAAAAATTTGCCAAATTGCAATTTATCCGATCCCTTAAATTGTTTAATTATTGAAAATAAAAATACAAAAATAATNAGCGAGCCATGGTTCACGGCGTGAACCACTTAGGATTGCGTAGCAATTCTCGGGGGTTGGCGAGCGTTAGCGAGCAGGGGGCGGAGCCTCCTAGTTTCTAGAGAATTTTAAAAGAAGTCTTTCCCAATATTGTAGGAAATGGTAGGTAGGTGGTCAGATCTTTTAGCCTTCTATAAGGAGGGATAAACTCGATTCTTGATAATAGAGGTTGATAATAGAGAAGTGGCTTGATAATCGAGAAGTTAGACAGGTAGTTAACTTATAAGGTTGGTCAGCTCAACAGGTTTTTTTTAAATAAATATTGCCTTTAAGTCTTTATGATTTGTTCTAGTCTCAAATATTTTAATTCTCTCCGCACTATACAAATCAAAAAGCACCATAGCCAATTTTAATTTTTAAAAAAATTGTCCTGACTTTCTACAGGGTGCGTAACCAAAATTTTCAACAAAAAAATAAGCACCTTTTAAGCACTTTTCAAGCACTTAAAAATATCATAATCAGGAAAGGTGCGCAAATTTTGTCAATTGACAGTTTTACCCGGTTCTAACCGTCATGCCAAAAAAACCCTTTTGACTTAAATTTTGAAAATTGTCCAAAACTCAAAATTTTGGCTTTAAGGATAATTATTAGCTGTTATATAAATATGAAGTAATTTTAAATTAACATATATGTAAAATTACAAGCGTTCCATCAATTATGTTCTTGAATAATTTTACCATAAAACTCTTATTGTTTTGAAAATTTTGGTTTAAAACCCAAGCTTTGGTGTAGAAAATATTAAATAATTTTAAATAAAAATTTGCCAAATTGCAATTTATCCGATCCCTTAAATTGTTTAATTATTGAAAATAAAAATACAAACATAATTATCTTATAAAAAAAAAACATTTTTCCACAAAGCAACTTATTACAGAAAAATAGTTTTGAAGCCCTCTGCACTCCAAGTTCATTTCACAGTTTTGTGTGAATAAGACCGAAATTTGAAACTGTTCTTACACTGTAAGCAATGTCTTTTTGTATAATTAATGGCGAAAATCAACATGGAAAAGAAAAAAATATCTCATTTCGGAAAAGGAAAAAATAAGCACTTTTTAAAAAACACCCAATTAAAAAAGCACCTTTAAGGGCTTTTAAAAATGAAAATCGAAAAAAGCACCTTTAAGCACTTTTTAAAAATGCAACGCACCCTGTTCTAGGATTTTCTAAAATTGATAATCAGCGTGATTCTACAAATAAATAAAATTACCTTCATGATGGACAATGGTTTTAAAAATAAAGATTGCTTGAGAAGCTATTTGTCTTCTGATAGTTTATTGTTTTGTTTATAAAAATGACAACAGTTCTTCTGCTTCATTATTGTAATTTATAGTGTGTAGAGTGTAGAGAATTGTGGAACCCTATCTTTCCTTTCTGAAAACTGAAGATGAGTAGTGATGTGATGGAATCACGGGAGAACGTCACGGTCCGATCTTTAGGTGATAATAGCCACCAAAACAGAAAGTTGTGCACTCAAGTGCATCCCGAAATGGTAAATGTTCCAAAACGGGGACATCTGCCAAAAATGTATCAGTCTATAAAAGAAAAATGGAATAAATATTGTTTTTATTTTTACCGCCGACTGCATCAAGAGTGAGAGACTTGTCCTAAGAAATTTTAAGAGGTAAGTTAAAATTTTATATTACTTTAAAGGTACTGTAAGAACATAAATTCGGTATCGTTTTGCAACTTCTTTTAACACTTTGAAGAAAAAAAAATAACAATTATTTTTTTAACGATTTATTAAGCTTTATGTTTAGTTTAGTTTTTTAGTTTGTTCTTCTTAGTTAGTTTAGTTTATCGATAATTTTTTTTATGATTTCTTTTTTTAACAATTTCCATTTCTGACTTTTTTATTAATGAACCACTAAATACTGATCACTTTTCATTAAATTTTGATTGATTATTTACAACAGTAGACTTTTATAGGAATGTAGACTATAAATACTATGAATCTTTATTTGCAGCTCTTGCAATGTTTGTTTTAAGTCATAGTATAGTAAAGTTTAGTTGTTTTTTAGCTGCAATTGAGTGAAATAGTATAGGGAAGTCCGGGGCTATAACTCCTCCATTCGATGCTTCTATAAAGAGGAAGGTAGAAATGTAATGTAGGAAACAAATAAACATTATTCAAACTTATTTATATATATTATTACATTAAAACATCATTGTTATTATAATAAAGTATTATTTAAACTTTATTAAACTTATTTTGAATCGAAAAGAAAAACAATTGGTTTCACAAAAATTTAGAACCATATTTGAAATTCAATTTTATATAAAAATATGAAGAAATTATTCTTTTAAAAAAACTTATTACTTCCAACAAAATATTCCTTAATTCCCTTCCATTAAAAAAATACATTTTAATAATCCAGAATTTTATTATTAAATTGTTAAAAAATCAAACTAAAAAAAAAAATTCATAAAATATTTCGCCTGTGCCAAGTATTAACACAATAAAGAATTTAATTTTCTTCATACAAATAATAACTAGTAATCTACTAAAACTAAATTTTGTGTTTTAGTTTACTTAATCGTTGATTGGATGCCTGGGTCAATAGTGTTAGCTTCTGGGAATCAGGTTGAGAAATCGTAACAAGTTCATCAATGTTATTTCCGATTTCTTGCACGTGAGATAATTAAAATAAATAAATAGAAACAAAACATAATCGTTTGTCTGGGGGTAATAACGTCTCCTTAAATACAGTTTCAAAATGGTATTTTACCAAAAAAAAAAAAAAAACAGACCACCCTGAATAATTTGTCACCTAACAATCGTATCTACACGTTCGACTCATTTTTAATTGTTCGAAGGGGTGACATCGGATATGCTAATTAATTAGTGCAGATGATATTTTAAATTACGAAATCAGACATAAACGTACTTTCTCTGAATAAACATACCTTTCTTTCAAAGGATTTGGATTTCTGACTCCCAAAATATAAGAATAGTAGCAACCTGGGAAATATGGTCCCAACAGTTTGGTCAGAAGAGCTATCCAAAGTTCGAACCCCTTAATGTTAATTTTACATTTTGCGTATTTCGCCAAATATGGAGAAATTTTGAAGCGAAATGAAAATTTTTTGCATACAATAATAAAATTCGTTTGCCTAAATATAATTTCACGCAAAAATTTAATTTTAGTAAATATTTATAATTTTTATGGTCTTATTAAAAAAGTAAAAGTAATTTTAAATTGTAAGATAAACAATTTTTTACATCATTTTAAGGTAAGTAATTATACCAGGCAAAATGCAAAATTTGAGTTAAATCTGTTGAATAGTTCCTGAGAAATATAATTTTAAATACACGACTTCTTTAAAATTTGATTTCTCAGGAACTATTTAACCAATTTAGCTCAAATTTTGTTTTTTTGCCATGTGAAATTACATACTTTAAAATGATGTAAAAAATCGCTTGCCTTACAATTCAAAAGTTTTTTGACTTTCATTTAATAAAATAATAAACATACTTTAAAATTTACTAAAATTTATTTTTTGCATGGAATTATCTTTGGATAAGCGAATTTTATAATTGTGTGTAAAAATTCCTCAATTCCCTTTAAAATTTTTCGAGATATGGTGAAATAAGCAAAAAGTAAAATTAACATTAAGGGGTTCTAACTTTGAATAGTTCTCCTGATCAAACTATGGGGACCATATTTCCAAGATTGCGGCTACCTCCTGTATTTTGGGGTCAAAAATCCGAATCCGTTATAAAAAAAAAGGTATGTTTATTCAGAGACAGTACATTTTTATGCCTGATTTCGTAACTTAAAATATCGCCTGCACTTATTAATTTGTATATCTGAGGTGAACCATTAAGAATGAGTCCTAGAACAATTATTAGATAAAAAGCTATTTAGGGTGCTATTTATTTTATTTATTTTTTTAGCACACTGTACATACTTTTGAATTGTTTGTGTATTGTGTTCACAAGATTTAATTCAGATTATAACAATAATTCTACATCACTATTTTAGATTTTTTGGTTAAATTTTTGATCTCCGTTTTCTCAATTTTTTTCTTCTTCCTTTGCATCTAACAAACTTTTGATGCTATAGTTATTTTCAGTAGTATAATACCTTTGAAAAAGGATGGAAAACGAAGGCGTAGCTTCAATAAACCAGTGGAAATAACGCTTGATAATCTTCGAAACTTCTGTGAAAAATTCTTAAAACCTTAAAGCAATAAAAATAAATGTTTTTTATTAAGTCTGTAATTTAAAATTACACATTTGTTAGATTTTAGATCTTTTACTTGCTTTTATTGCAGTTCAAGTTAATTATATTAATATACACTGTTAACCTTATAAAACCTTGCTGCTGATTGCAGAATTGTATTAGAAACATTTTGTCAAAAAAAATTAAAAGAGAATATCAAATACCGCTTTATATCTAAAATTCTGATGGGATGACGACTTGTATTTTCCTTATATCGAAAAACACTGCCGAATAGAGTAAAAATATCCGCCATCAGTTTTTTTAAGAAAATCAAATAGAAGCATATTTAGTCATTTTTGTAAAGCGTATGAAGCATACTTAGCATTTTAAAGTATATTTCGCTAATCACCCTACGACATATGTGTTTTGAGCATGTGTTATCAAACATACATGGCATATGTCGACGACACTATAGATCATATACTGGTTGCCACCACTATACATTATACACTGGTTGTCAAGATTAATTGTGTGTTTTAAAAAAAATCTCTCGTAGGTAAATTGGAAAATCTTGCTTTTTGCAAGCTGTCAATATTACTTTGCAGTGCGCCTAAAAGGCTTGTCTAAACAAATGACGACGACAACTTGTCAAGAGCAGACTATACTTTTCCAATCAGCTCATGACAAATGTATTTTGATATGCATTATTTTTTAAAAAAGAAGCTATAAACGTTAGACACCATACACTATTCTATTTTATTTTATAACCGTCGTTGAACAGCCGACACAATTTCATGGGTTTACGACTCTTAATGTTCAACTCCGTAGTCTGGTAATTTTGAACCCAATCCAAAAGACAAAGGAACTCCTGGATCGAGTATAGGAAGGAATTTGCCTTCGTGGTGGACTCTTTTTTGGAGCTAACCGGCATTTGCGTTACATGGAGAGGAAGACCACGAGAACCTCCCACGGTTAGCCAGACGGCAAGGGGACTCTAACCCATGATCCGTCTAACACTGAGGATATTTCACGTCAGCACTGTGGTTGGTGCGAGCCGGATGCGGAATTCGTATCGACTGGGATTCGAACCCGGTTCGCTTCATTGGAAAGCGAACGCTCTATCCCCCGATCCATCGCGATTCACTATACACTAATCGTCGAAAAACAAATTTTCCAACAAATTCAATAAAATTCATAAAGTACATTTTAAATCACAACATAGTGTTGCGTTTATGCTACGCCAGCAGGGTATAGATTAATTCAAATTATCTATTAAAATTTTTCCTTTAATGAATAATTACAAATTTTTTTTTACAGTTGACAGAAACTGTTTTAGATACAAAGCTGAAACAAAGAAGGAAGAGACTTCCATGTTATTTGGTCACTCAAAAAAATGGATGATTTTAAAACTTTTAGCCACGTGCCTGTTCCTTGTGATTCTACCAGGCTATGTCGAAAGTGGACTTCACAAGATGATGCTCAAGGCCATGATGCATCATTTAGCAGAAGGAGGTGGCTATGAAAGTAAAGGAATTACGTTTGGCCTTAGATCGAAAGGAATGACGGCTGTAATTCCTGTGCCAATACCAATACCATTGTTCTCCAAAGGAGGAGGTGGAGGCGGCAAAGGAGGAGGAAAAGTCAAGTATATTCCAGTACCGTAAGTATACTTTGTATACAAAACATATATATAGGGATTTTAATTTTGAATATTGAGATATCAGATGATTTGAATATTGTATATGAGGCATCTCGTTAACTTTAACAGGATGGCTAATATCACAATAAAAGTTTGATAAAGTGATGACCAGTGTTTAATGAGGCTTTCAGAAATTTCATGGGTTCTTTTTTTACCCAGTTAGTTTGAACATCTTGTTATAAATTTCTTTGATTTGCTAGATAGGAATTGTTAAAGGAAATTTGGGAAATTTTCTTTTATTCACGATATCACTACCCCAGTCAGGTAATCGATGAAATAAAGCGTAAAATTACTATTTTAAATTTAATATCAAAATCAAAGTATATATACAGTATTATATGTTAAATTGTCTTTGGCCAATTAATGCTTATTTAGCCATTTTTAAACTGTATCAAAAAACAAATACATATCCTGAAAAATATTTTCCCATTTTTTATAGTGATACAGGGTTTCATTTTTATTTGAATCAGAGCAAATAGTTATCTTAAAAACTTATCCTTTCTTATACGTCACATTTTGCTTTACATTTTTTTCAAATTTTAAGTAGCATTATTTATTACGTTTTTCAAGTAAATTAAAAGCTTATTTAATTTATATTAATTTAAAAAATTATTATAATTTAATTAAATCAAAAATAAAGCTGTATTTAATAATTAAAATAAAATTTCATTTTAAATTTAAAAATTATTTAAATTTTCTTATTGTGTTAACTCACAAATAATTTAATAGCTCTGTATTTTAAAATATATCGATTGAAATTATTGTAAATGTTAGTAATATTTGTAATCTTCGGCTGAACTATTTGGCATTTGAGCCGAATACTGAATTCTACACACTTGAACGTATTTTAAAAATTAATCTATAGAGTTTAAAGGGATATTTCCGTATCATGATCTGTCGCGCCAACTACAATTGCCAAGGTGACTTTAAGCTATATGGCACCTTGGCAATAGAAAAAAAAAAAAAAAATATTAAGATGGGGTTTTGCCCGGAGGTGACTAAGAGTTATACTTTTCGAGTTGGTCCCTTTGTGTGATATTTTTTTTAGTTTCTCTGAGGCCGCTGCCAGAAGTTGCCAAGATTTGACGATTTTTCTGCCACAGATCACGATACGGAAATCTCCCCGAGTTTAAACTCTAGAATTTTTTTTTCGATTATTTTAATTGTTGCAACACATATTAATTGCTAAAATATACTACGTAGCTTACTAGAACATCAATAAACATTATGATTCAGAAAAAAATAAGAAATAAAAAAAAATACTAATAAATTTTAATAAAAAATTAGTGTTTGTAAAACGCTACCATATTTTACTCTCTGAAAACCACTTGTAAAAAAGATGTTAATTTCAAACAATTATTTGTGTTTACAGACAGATAGGATTACGATATTTAAAAATTATGTACATTAATGTATGGATTTTTAATTACTACATGCTAATGAGAATAGTTAATTTTGAAATACGAGTAATGATAATGCTAAAAATTTATTTATTTATAATCATTTTAAATAAATAGTTCTGTGCAGGGAGAATTGTAAATGGAACGATAAAAATAATTTTAAAAGAATTCAGTATACATTTGCTAATGAAAAAAAAAAAATCAAAATTTTGAGTTAAAGTAAAATTTAAAATAACCTAATGTCTTAATTATTCAAAATTATATGCGTTTAGTGGGAAAAAACCCTAAAATAAATGTTAAAATAATATGCAAACAAATAAATTACTTTACAAAATCAAGCAATCTAAATTAGAAAATTAAAACCATAAAAAATATTGTTGATTGGAGAGCATTATTATACAAATGAAGAAAAAACTAAAATAAAAAGGGATCAAAATGAAATAAGATTGACTTAGCAATCGAAAACGAACTCCCAACAAGTATTATAAAACGAAAGAACATTTGAACGAAGAAATTAAATAGAGTTAAAACAAACGAAAGTGAACAACAAAAATGAGCTCTAAACATATAATTTTTTTAAAATCATCTATCTTAAAATACTAACTTATTCTAATTAACCTTAAATCACAAATACTAATTTATCTCTAAGATAAGAAAACAAAATAAGTAGACAAGAAAACAAATTAAGTTACACTCACACCTTTCGTATGGTAGATTTTCATTAAAAGTCATCACCGTTTTGAAATATTCTTTTTTGGTGAAATCATCGTTGCAACCATTATCATATGAGTTCATCGTTTATATATTCAATAGAACAATGTCAAAAGAGGCTACTAACTTTAAAGATGTGGTATAGAGTATCCAGTTGTTTGTCCTTTTTAACGAAATAATGCATTACAACTAAGTAACTAAATATTGTCAAAAATCAACATGTATCAAATAACATTTAATGAAATTTTAACGAAGCTTTTGTATAGCTAAACATATATAATCGTTTTCAACTGATTCAACACAAATCGATGAATTTTAACGTTGTGAAATATCTTTTACGATCGACAACAAGTTGAATTTTAAGTGCAACAAAGTATTGGCTTTGTAAATTTGAACCACTCCTTGAGGAGGAAAAAATGTGCTGACGATTAAAAAATGGCGGCAGCTGTAGTTCGCGTTTGATTTAAAATCGTTTGCTTTTTGCTAAATAAATGAAGCATTTTATTCACATTAAATGATTACAAAAATGCTTAGTTTATGGGATTGTTGATCCAAAAACTTTATTTTATCCCTATGCAATAATGTTTTTTAATAAAATAAATCTTATCAAGACGATTTGTCTGTTATAAACAGTTGTATAAAATTTGGAAATTATAACATGAATCCTCTTAGAAATATAAGCGCATACCTCTCTTTTAAAATCAGAGAGAAAAGAGATGATCTTTTTAATATTATCTTTCTTTAAAAAGATGATATTAAAATAGATTTATTTAAATATTGTTCGGTAATTCGGACAAGGGGTATATTTACACACAAAGTCTTTTTTCTGACACTCTGAGCCTTAGAGTATGGAGCAATATTTTACGGAAAGAATTTTTTTTCAAAATAATGAGATTTTATCTTTTTTACCAAAATCATTTAAAAAAGAACGTAATTCTGACGTGAATGTAATTGTTGTGACCATTCGTGACTATTGTGATTTACATATCTAATTTTAAGAGATTGCAAAAAAACTGCTACCAAAACATAAAAGTGACTGGTCTAATCTTACAGAGATAAGTCGCAAAAAATGCCTCTATATCTTTGGAAAGGTGGTGAAATTTTCTTCCTGCCACTTTGAAGGGATCTAAGTGGCAACTAAGAGGCAACAAAGATTCTCAGTGACTTTAGTCCCAGGAAAGTATAGGTGTGACTACCAACACACAAAAGTCACAATAAATTTTCAGTGAAAGTTTTATGTGATCTCACGAGAACAATAACATCAAAGTCATATTATAATTTCATTGGGGCAATTTGAAAAGCCTGTGACCGGTCGACATTTCCAGCCATGGGGTATGCAATTTTAATCCTAATGATGTGCCTTATTATCTTCCCTAGAATTTCCTAACTGCATTTATGTGACCCTAGCTCCCCCCCCCCCCGATGTATATATAACGTTTTTTCAACTTATACATTTCTACAAAAAATAGATAAAATTGTCAATGCAAGGCCAAACTGTAGCTTTTAAATAGAAAGCGATTGCAGATTAGAATTTACTGATCTAAGAACGGTTAAAAAAATCCCATGCAGCAGAAAACAAAGAAAAAAAATTTGTTCCTAGCTTTATTAGTATTTGACCATTTTGTAAAATACTTTTCAACAAATACAATAGAAGATAGCAGCTAAAGTATCCAATTTATTTATCCATTTATATAAATTTTATTTCAGAGTGCCGAGTGGAGGAGGCGGTGGAGGGGGCTGGTGGAGATAACCATCTGCAGCATTAATTTCAGCTGGATCTGAAATGCATTTTCTTATGACTTTTTTCTCATTCTGTAAATTATTGTCACAATCAATAAATAAAAATTTAAAAATAAGCAATTTCGCTTCTATTATTTATTTTTATTTGCACTACAAATGTTTCCTTGTACGTAACACAACTCTTTATCTTACACTAATATTCTAAATTGAGAAACATGTGTTGCTGAAACCACGGAAACCTTCCACGGTTAGCCAGACTGCAAGGGTACTCTAACACATGATCCGTCTACTACTGGGGATAGTTTATGTCAGCTTTGTGGTAGGTGTGAGCCGGGTGCAGAATTCAAATCTGATAAATGGCATCACTCACATAGTCACTTGGAATATGTTCGAAACGTTTGCTAATTATTGTATCCCACCTGACACCGGTAAATTCCGTCCTGATCCGGTAAATCATAATCTGATATTGAATTTTGATACTTGTAACTTTTATTTACGTCGCACTAGAGCTGCTTAATGGTCTATAAACGGTGATTGAATTTTAAATCTCAACATATACGAAAAAACGTTAATCATATATCAAAAAAGTTCATCTTTAAATTTGCAATTTTTATCATTTAAAATATAAAGATAGCAAAAAAAATTTAATCGTTCTTTATTACACGTAATTCATTCGCAAATAAATTATGATCTGATGATTTGGGGATGTAACTATTATGGAAATATTAAGGAGCTCGATTTACTTCAAAGAAATGTATTAAAAATTTTATTAAGTATATATAAAAAAAATTTTTTTATTTATTTAAATACATTTATTTAAATATATTTGTTTTAATATATTTATTTAAATATATTTATTTAAATATATTTATTTAAAAATATTTGTTTAAATATATGTATTTAAATATATTTATTTAAATATATATATATTTAAACAATACTTCATTTAAATATACACATTTTAGATCTTTAAACATTTTTCCGATTCGCCATCATTTTTTCTATTTAATCTGTCGATATTCATGCATGCGCCCAAATGAGTTTAAAAAACGCATAATTATTAATTCACCCAGTACCCCAGTTAATTCGTCCGTAATTTTACGACTTGTTCCCGTGTTTACGTATATAATAAAAAGTGGGGTGACCAAAATTAAAAACAATAGATAAATTTAAGGGCAAAATATAGGCCTTAATGTAAATGCAGAGAACACAAGAAATCTTCAGAAATTGTTCCGAGTGCAACGACGCTTTCTGTTTAAAGTTGAGTATATAGAACGATGAAGCCCGGTAGCTGAGTGATAGCTCTTCGCTCTCCCGTGCCACAGGTCCTGGGTTCGATCCTCCGGTCGGTCAAGGTTGACTCAGCCTTTCATCCCCACAGTTGGTCGATAAATGAGTAACAAGCATGCTTGGGAGCTAAATACTGGTGGTTCAGCTGACCATCTGACCGGAACATCTGCTCCTGCACCCCAGAGCCCAAGATCAAGAAAACTGAGATGGGCTCAGTAGGCCTTGGCTTTCTGTGGGCTGTCGCGCCACTGAGTTTTATATAGAACGATAATTTAATATATCTTATTTAAATTTTCATGCTAAAAAAAGGAAAATTTTCATGCAAAGTTTTCAATAAAATAGAATAATTCTGTAATAAAAAGAAAAATTAATTTCCAAATATCAAGCACTGTAATTCACATATGTTACGACAGCAACTCCCTAGGATTTTTACTCGCACCCACGGTATTAGCAGTTTCCAGCTTCATACCATATCATGGACCCGAGAACATTTGGCTGATAGACTGGACTGTAGATGGAATATTATTTAATTTTTGAAAATGAACCATTTTCTTATAAGCTTCGACGCTCTTATTACAATGGGGACTCAAATATATCCTATTGTGCTGTCTTCAATTTGTCTATAATTCTTCAGACGTAGTTTAGTCTGTCACACTAATATATCTGACAAAGTTTCAAAATAAACAGGTTATATTAAGAAAAGATATAACCCTGATAGCACTGATTGTTACAGTGACATCATAATAAAGTAAAAAACGGTTACAGCAGTCCCAGGTGTGACCGTTTTGAATTGTCTCAAGGAGGTCACAATGTGACTTTGATGCTAAACTGTCTTGTGATATCACATAAGAGTCTCCATGACTATTTATTGTGACTTTCGCCACTTGGTAGTCACAAATATACTTTATTTAAACTAAAGTCACATGGAAATTTTGTTGTTACTTTGATCACTTGAAAATCACATGGAAACTATATCATGACTTGTCTTACTGAAGTTTCAGAAGTATTTTTTGCGTCTTATCTCATTTTGTTCTCATATTTACTTTTTGTCGAATTTGTTTCATTGAAGTATCGTGTATACATTTATGCTACTTTTATCATTATAGTTATGATTCCACTTTATACGGAACAATACTTCACCACATTTACAAGTCTTGTAAGCACGTTTTTGCGACTAATCTCCTACGATTAAATGTGTGACTCCCGATAGAGTCGCAAATGGTCACAATGATGTCATTCAAAAGTGTGACCATTTTAAATATTTCCGAAAGCCTTTATACATGGCTCTGAAAAGCTGTTGTAATTCATTTACGTCGCACTAGAGTTGCACTATGGGCTATTGGCAATGGTTTGGGAAACATCCCTAAGGATGATCCGAAGACCTGAAATTACAATTTTGATCCTCTACAGAGGGGGTGGCACCCTCGCTTCAGCAGCCTAGTTAAATAATTTATTTCTTAAATTCTTTACTTCTGTAAGACGGAAAAGACGAAAAAGATTAAGTAGCTTATTACAAGTGTTAAAATGTACAATAACATAAATGCAAAAGAAAAAAAAATGTTAAAATGCACAATTAACAAGTTTTAAAATGTACTTCAATAGGACTTGAATAGTCTATTTTTAAAAATAAAATATTTAGTGCTTTTTTTTGGAATAAAATAATTTGAGACCAAGACGTTAGGAGATCCACCTTTCCCTTAATATGACCCCCGACGTTTATTATGAGCTAAATTACAAGAATTATGCCCTTAATCATAAGAAGATTATTATTATCGACTATAGTGGTGCAGTATGAGGGGGTCCCTGGGACTGGTTATAATTTACATTCAGTTTTTTTTTTTTTTTGAAATCTCATTTCGTGTTACCATGATATATTTTGTGGTATTTGCTTTCAATGACACCACTGTCGCATTAAAAAAATTTTTTTTTTAAATCTGTAAAAGATAAAATGATTTCATTATATTTTGAAATGTTTCAACCATTGCTTTTTATACCATAAAATTTTAAATAATCTAAAAATATTTACAACAATACTCAAAGTTTAAACTGTTACAGCAATACATGAAAAAACTATATTTCTGCCATTGTTTGAACAATGAGTATGCTTTTAAAACATTGTTGACAAAAAATCTTTAAAATCCGACAACAAAGGTATAAAAAAAGGATTCATTTCTCATTCTTATTTGAGATTTCTCAAGTGAACTACTTACTTTTTGAGTAAAAATTCAAAAAGGCGCTTATTGAAATTATGAGTGAATATTACATATTTGCTCTCTTGAATAATTGGGAGAAGGAACGGGAGAAATATCCCAGACCTAATCGTATGTATCAAANTGATTTCATTATATTTTGAAATGTTTCAACCATTGCTTTTTGTACCATACAATTTTAAATAATCTAAAAATATTTACAACAATACTTAAAATTTAAACTGTTACAACAATACATGAAAAAACTAAATTTATGCCATTGTTTCAACAATGAGTATGCTTTTAAAACATTGTTGACAAAAAATATTTCAAATCCGTCAACAAAGGTATAAAAAAAGAATTCATTTCTCATTCTTATTTGAGATTTCTCAAGTGAACTACCAACTTTTTGTGTAAAAAATCAAAAAGGTGCTTATTGAAATTATGAGTGAATATTACATATTTGCTCTCTTGAATAATTGGGAGAAGGAACGGGAGAAATATCCCAGACCTAATCGTATGTATAAAAATCATATTCTTCATATTTTTGTAACTTTAAATATATCTGGATACCTGACTAGAACAGTTAAGGACCATCTTAAGCCTGTGTACAGAATAAATGTTTCTCCGAAATATTTAAAAAAAATATAAGAAAAAAGTTTTGATTTTGTAAATTATAATTTTCATTCAGATTTTAAAAGACACTTCATTATTCATCTTGATACAGCTTTGAACTTAAAGGATAGTTAAATAAAAATTCTCTGGTCCACTACAGTATTCAATCAATTAATAAAATGTTTTTGGAGACATGTAGAAACATAAACAAAATATAGATTTTGTATTTTCATAAAACGGAATCTCAAACTTTCAAAAAAGTTTACACTTTTTTACTTTTAAGTTGGTCGGTAATTTAAAATAATATTTTATATCATACTACATTTTTCATTTTATTTAAATGATTAAAAAGTCTTATAAATAAATAAAAATGTCTGCAAAGAACCATATAAATGATGATAAAATTTTGACAATTTATTGGCAGGTATTATTTTGGTAAGTTTATTGACACTACTGCTATAGTACACCTTTGCCAAATAGGTAGTGTTAGTCAATTTATAAACAGGAAAGGAATGGAAAATCCCACCGAAGGAAACTATAAGATAAAACAAGACATATTAAAATCAAGTTTAAACTCGAAACTTAAAATCTTGCAGTAGTATGAAAGATAAATTGAATTCGCTAAACCTTTGGTTTATTATGACAACATTTACTAAAAATATACGGAACATTTTATTCTTTAGAAAAATTTTGTCTTTTTTACAATTAGTGCTAACGTAATATAATTTTGTATTTAAATCTAAGATATTATTTTCTTCAGTATCATGTTACCCTTTTGTTAAAATAACTAGTCTTTGAGAACTGACACAGTTGGGATAACCACTACTTTAGCTGAGATACGCAAAGCTGTTTTTAATATTTGTACAACAGAACAAGATTTCTATGCTAATTATTTCGCAATTAGTTCAAACAAGGTTTGAAATAAATTTCATTCGTAAGCAAATGAAACTAATCAGGCCAAACAGACAGAAACTCTTTCATTGTCTACTATGTGATAGTCAAACAGCGCCAGCCGTGTTAAAAACTGGCACTTCGGAACATTTTTAACAGAGGAATTTTACGACTTAAGGAGAAATTGAAAAAAAAAAGAATAATAATGGTAATATAGTAATGAAACCATCTTTACAAACTTCTGCAAAATTCATAAGATCTATTAGTCGCAATCCATAATGATGTCAACTGAATTTTATACAATGAGGGCTAAACTATTTCGCTTGTTGGTGACAGGGCTGCATTATATTTCTTTAAATTCCGCATTTTCTTAAACGAGTTTCAATATAAATAGCCAAAAACGAAATTTAGTGTAGCAATACATCAAAACTTTATTTTACAATAAAATTGATAGATGTTTAAAATTTTGAAAAATATGTGTCTTTAAATAAGTAAATTTAATTTATTTTTAAATAAGATTCATTCAATTTTCATTTCAACTAATATTTTAGCTTTTGATGAGGAAAGTGAAGTGGATGAGATTGATGTCGATGATGAGTAAGTAGTGATTCTCTGAAATATCACATTTCAACTTTTATTATAGTTTTCGTTTTGTTATTTTAGAAAAGGGAGCATTCGTAACGAAACTAAAATGGAAAATGTCCAAATGAAGACTTAATGGAAAAACTCTTTAAAAAAACAATTTTGAGCTTCAAGTTCAGAGCTCATGGTAAACTTAATTCAATTGAGAAACCTTATTCTGAAGGAAATATGCAAAAGAAATTAAATGAGCTTGTTTAAAAAAATATTTTTAAAAAATAGTTGCAATTAAAATAAATCTCGTTTATTTTCTTATCATTTTACTGAAAATTCACAGAACGAGAAACTAAAATTATTGCACAGCAAGAATTTGAGGCTAAAGACCAAAGCGAACTGGAGATGGGCCTCTCAGCCATTTGAAAAAAAAATTAAGCATTTTTCATTTTATTACGTTCCTTCCAGCCGAGTGGAGGTTGTAGTAGTTTGAAATTGAAGGGGGATAACTTATAAAGATAAAATAAAATTTTAATTAACTAATTTTGGCAACCACTATAGTTCTAAATGTTTACACTTAGCTCATGTTAATCAACAATGTGTCGTTATCATGAGAAAACAGCTAATTTTCTATGAAAGTAAATGTATGATAATATGCATCTTGTTACCTGTTTTATTGACGCAAACTGTAGGGAAGAATTTTGCGATATCACGTGATCCAGCAACGAGCTTAAAGTTGGAATTGTAATTCAATGAAATATGTTGCCTCATTAATTTATTTCGGTCCATGTGTCACAAAAAACCTTGTTTTTATTTTAGCAGCATGTCTGCTTAAAATTTTGAGTTAAAAATATCAAAATGTAACGCGTCCTTTTAATAGATCCAGATAAAATTTTTGTCCATTTTCACAAATAACGGAAAAATTTTAACTTTATGAAACAAAACAATAAATGAAGGAAATGATGTTTTGGCAGATATTTCAAAACAGCTATTTTAAAGCTACATAATTTGAAAGCATCATAATTCTTAGCAAGCAAATTTCTTGTTGCTTAAATAAAGTCATAAATTGTGATTATGAAGTCCATGTTTGAAAATTTTGAGCTAAACATTCATATAATATACATATTAGATTTAAAAAAAATTCTCAAAAGAAAGCTATTTTTGACTTTTGGATTAAAAGATTTTTTCTTTAATATTTTCAGCATCGAAAGTGATGAGGATATGATTGAGATAGAGGCAGAGGTTATGTCTGAGGAAGACGAAGATGAGTTTGATGAAAGGTATATTAAAAAGTTATTATTTTTCATAATGTTTCCCAAATTATTTTAAAAAGTGAAATTACTAAAACCTCATCAAAAGTGTCGATATTTCAGACAGCTCTCCTGACTAAACTATTTTTTTTCCAATGCCCGCCTGTGTTAACATCCGTCAATTCAGGCATATGCAAGGCGATTTTGTTAGCCTCTCTTTCAGAGGCACCATATTAGGTGGGCCAACGTCGCTCCCACAGTGAGGACAGATAGTACAGAGAAGAAAAGAACATCCATGCCTTGCCCGGGCTTCAAACCCAGAACCTCGCTGACGCAAGGACAGTTTCCCGCCCGCTACACAAGCCGGTAACCCCCTGACTAAACTATACGAACCTTATTTTCAGTTTCTTGTTCTTACTTTCTTGAAAGCAAAAATCCAAATGCGGTGAATGAAACGAATGTTTATTTATTAAGAGAAACCACGTTTTTGCGTCAGATTCCATAACTTAATTTATAGCTTGTGCTTAAAAAATTCTATAAGAATTTTTTTATTTTTAGAGAGAGAATGATTTTGGAGTTTAAGAATGATATGGATTATAAATTTGATGGAGAAAATAATATGAATGACGAGGAAGAGGTGGATGAAATGAAAAAGTATATTGATTTATATATTCTTTAATTAGGGGGTAATTTTTTGGCACCATTATTAGCATCGCAAACTTAATTTTTATATACCTTGAAAATTATTCTTATTACTCGAAAAAAATTTAAAGATTAAAACTGGTAGAAATTTACTTTTCCTTTATATTTTTAGGTTGTATAAATTTTATTAATATAAATGATTCAACGTAGAGAAAAATTTATGATAAATTTACCTAAAATGACGCATAATGATTATCCGATGCTCATGATTTTAATACATGCAAGTGTCTGGTGTAAATCATTCTGAATTTTTGAAGAACTCTGTGTAATCTCAAAAAATAAAAATAATAACAAATCTACAAAACTTAGGAACTTATGTTCTAATATGGGATAAAACCTAATATGGGATGGGTTCTAATATGGGATATTAAATTCGAAAAGATCTAATTTGCCACTAAGAATGAATGAAGTTATGAAACAATCGGTATAAAATGTGTGTTTCAAAAACTAAGAAAAATTACACAACACATCATTTTCAATAATAAATTCAGGTAGCAGAAATGCTATCTTAAAAATGCTTCGCAAAAACACTATGTTAAATTTCATAATTTATTTTCTTTTTAGTGATAGTGATGAAAAGGTGTATTCCAGTTATTTTACTGAGGAAATGATTGCAAAACTGTACAGCATGGATAAAGTTCATGACAAGGATTCTATCGAGTATGGAATTCCGGATAAAAGGTATTTAAACTGTTCCAAGATTTTTTTTTTCAGTTAGGGACTCAGCCATAAGACATATGTATTGCTTCAAATTTTTTTTATGTAAAATTTCAACTTCCTTTTATACGTAGTAATACTTTATATTCGCATAATATATTTTTTCATATCTTGATATAACTTAAAATTTTAATGTCTATAAATGACCCGAAACAGTCTGTGCTCTTGATACACTAATTTGTCTTATGCATGGGCAACAATCTTGATAATTAAGATAATTTTATTAATTTGTCGAGATAAGTAAAAAATACAAAACATAAAAGTTTGTACGTTGTATTTGTTATTACAAAAAAAGTTTGCAGCGAAGAAAAAAAATTCATTTTTTCTGAAAAGGCGGAGACGTTGTATTTTTCTTCGTAATATTTATTTCTTGATAGCATCGTTAATTTTCGCACCCTCAAACTAAAGAAATACATTTGCAATCAAACGCATCCTTAAAAACAACAATGATATATAAAAATTGATCTGATCCGTGCAGCATTGATATTTTATTAAAAAAAAAAAATCGTATATATTTTGTTTTAATCTCTAATTATAAGAACAATCGTATGCATCCTTAAAACCAGGAATTAATCGTGCTTCGTAAAAATTTTAAGAAACAAGACTTTCGAATTCAAAAATATTGTAAAAGTTTAAAGATTTGTTTTATAACACTGACTCTAAGTTGTAAAAAATTCCAATTCTGGGGGACCATATGATTTTTATAAGGAACAAGATATCGACTCTTAATCAAATATTAAAAGAAATTATTTATGGTATTAAAATTTTTAATACATATCATTTCTAATACTCAAACTTTTTTTATCTGACTTTAAAAAACATGATGTAAAACTAGTGCGTTATAAAATTAAACTGAAATTAAACTCAAATTAGTAACTACAAAAATTAGTATTTTTAAAACAAAATTGCGCAGCAAAAACACTGTTTTATTTTTAAAAAATTTTATCTGAAATTTAACACAGTTTACTTTCTACAAGTTTTTGTATTTTTACAACAAGCACTTAACTATAGCTTTCTATAAAACTTACTTTCTATAAAAAATAGTATTCCAATAGCAAACAGACGAATAAAATAAACTGTCTTGTTAGAATACCTGTGAGCTTAGACAATAATTTTACTTAACATGAAATACAGTCTTGAGCTTCATAGTAATGCGAGAATATTCTTTTTAAATTTTAGATATTGGAAATATGACTCTTGTGAGTCTTGCTTAAGAGCTGGAAGTAATGAACAGGATTACATGGACATAGAAGACAGCGAAAGCGATGAAAAAGATGGAAACACAATAAAAAAGGGCTGTTTCGCTTTCCTGTCAAGAGTGTTTAACAGGTTGTTCAANCACTATAGAAGATAACATCATTGTGAAAGACTTATATCTGCCAAAATTTGTAATTTAATATACTCTTGTGAAACTTGTGGAAGTACTGTAATTTGGACACCAGAGAAACGTAATCGGACGTCAAACTACATAATATCATTGTAAAAGAGTTATATCTGCCAAAATTTGTTATTTAATTTAGTATATTCTTGTGGAACTTTAAGAACAGTAATTTGGACATTGCAGAATTTGACGTCATAAAAGATGCAATTAATTTGACGTTTGCAATTTAATTTGACGTCATAAAAGATGCAATTGCTGTGAAGGTCCTAAAATTTTTCGAAAAGTGCAATTCAATTTCGTACATTGTCATGATACAATATTTAAAAATATGTAAATTGAATATCACAGAAAATAAAAAAAGAAATAAAAAAAAAATAATAAGTGTCTTTTTATTTAAATATTTAATAAGTAAACATGCATTGAATTTACATATCATAAACAAAATTTAAAAATAATGTACATTAATATTTATTTTTTTATAACTACTTCAGGGTTTAACGCTTGTATAGCTATACTAATTTATAATTTATCTAAACTTTCAGGTTCAAAATGTGTAGAATAACAAAGAAAACTTTAGTTGCTCTCAAATTTCTTTGTTAGACCCTATAACTAAAAGCCAGCACTTATTTCAGTGTATGGTTAGTTGCTAAAAAAACATAAAAGTTTTTTTTTCCTTCTCAATTTTTAGCTTCAAATTAAAATAAAAAAGTACTAATTTTCATATTCTATAGTGTAATAAAACTTTAAAGAGTTATATATGAATAAAGAGTCACTTTTAATGGATATTTCTATGAGGCGTCGAAGGAAACGTTTTCCTTTATTCAGTGTTAAAAATCATTTTAAGGTTTGCGTAGTTAATTAGCCTTTTCAATAAATGATATTTTTAGTTTTCTAGGAAACGAAAAATAGATCTTCCAACAGGATTGTGCTACGAGACGCACAGTTAAAGTCCTAGTGTGAGAAAATCTTAGTGAGAGAAAATGTTTTCTAAATTCCGCGTTTGAGCAAGAGTTGTCGCATTTTTTATCCCCATTTCTAAATCCAATATCCGTTAATCCATCTTAAAAACAAAGTTTTAAGCTTAAGTTCATTAGAACTTTGGAATTTTAAAACGCAATACATATAGAGGTGTTTTCAAGTTTATTTGAAAATTATTTGAAAGATAGTAATATTTTAATGAGCTTTGAAATTTTGTATTGCATGTATCCAAGTTATTTTTTATCATCCTAATTTATTTTTTCTCTATTTCGGCTAAAATATGCAACATATAAAAGTCTTTAGGCTTAAATGTGTGACTTACATGATGATCTTAATCACTGCCTGTTATAAGTCCTTAAAATTCATATTGAAAATAAAATAAAATATACCCAATTTTTTCAAAGCATTATTTATGTCTAAAATATTGCTATGCAATCGGATAAGTCATTGAAGCAGAACGCAAGATTAGATAAAACTGATCACTTTTTGGACTTCATATTTTAAGTGTTAAGCGACTGTGATTACTAAACACCATAAGCATTCAGAAATTAAGATATAAATAAATTATATATATATTGCGACACAAAAATCGATCCAAAAAAAAACAGTTCATTTTAATTTAGCTTTTATTTCAAGTCTTAACAGTTTTTAAACCTTAATTATTTTTCAAATTTTTAAGGTAAAATGCCGCAATGCAAACGCGGAAATGTTTCATTTTAAATCCTAAAGGAAGATTAGTTTGTCCCAAACTTGATCCTTGAGTTCACTTGTTTTCTGAAGGTTTTCTTAATTCTGCTAAGCGAGTTCTAAAAATAGGATCATTATAAATTACTCATTATTTTATTGTATAACCGGATGGCGATGCACAACTAAACATATTTTTAGTTCTGCGCCTATCAACTCTTTAACCTCATAATTTTTAACCAAATCCAGAAGACACGTAAACTCTGGGATCAAGTATTGGGATAAATTTGCTCTCGTGGAGGATATTTTTGATAAAACCAACCCGCTTTTGCGTTACACGGAGAGGAAAACCACGAAAACCTCCCACGGTTAGCCTGACTGCAAGGGCACTCTAACCCATTATCCGTCTAGACCAGTTTAAAAAAATAAGTTTGCGGAGTTGAAAATTGATAGGCGCAAACCTAAAAATGGGGTTGGTTGTGCAGCGTCACCCTAGTTATAAAATAAAATATTAAGTTAATTCATAATGACTCTATTTATCATAAGAACACAGATAATTTAAAATTTATTTTGATCGTTTTAAACACTAATTAAAAAAGTTTATAAAGGTATTCGGAAAAACTAGAGGGTTACAGACAATTTAACGAAAAAGGGGTGAAGACATGAGTTATTGTTTCTTTCTAATGGAAAAAATTTTTCGGAGACAGAAATTAAAGTGGAAAAAATGTGACATGCTTCGAGTGTCAAAAGAATTAATGTCTTGTGAGTCTTGATAATGGGCGCTTTCGTTTTGAGTGCTCGAAGCATTTCCGCTTTTTAATTTTGATGCCAATTAACTTCTTCTATTATTAACTTCAAACAGCCATCGTAAATTAAAGAAAATGTTTCATCCCAGTAACAGCTTAGGGCTTTATTAACATATAAGCAAGTAAAGCTCTATAAATCATATTTGTGATTATTAATTTTTATAGTAAAATATAAAGTACTGCCCTCGCAACTCTCTGCTATCGACAAAAGGGCCCATGGAGGATAAGGATCTACAATATCTAGATTCTAGACCAGTGTTTCCCAACCTTTTTTGTACCATGCCCCACCTAAGCCTTTCTAAAATTCTTATGCCCCTATGTAACATATACATAATTTTTAATATTTAAAAAATCGAATTGTTCACTTAAGAAACTTAGGAAATTGTTAGCGAAACAAAGTAAGTAAATTTTCAGAACATATAATGAACAACTAAAATTCAAATTCGAAATAATTTTAATAAATATTTTTCTATAATAATTTAATATTTTAATTAAGTGAGATTCTTGCCCTTGATGCTTGCTGCTCGTAGATTTTATCTTAGGTTCCAATTTGGTTAGCCTCAGTCTTAAGTCTCCCCATTGTGTTTTATCTAGACGATTTTTTTTACCAATAAAATCATTTACAGCACTAAATCCACATTCAGCTAAATATGAAGATGGAATCGGTAACAATAGTTTTCTTGCACATTNTTTTACGATTTCTCAATTTTTTATAGATAATACACTGATAAAAAAATAATACATTGATTATATAAAGTATTAATTTATAATCTGGATAATTTTTGGTTTTTAGATCAATTCCTTTATACGACTGATATTTTACAAATATAGTGTTTGCGACAAAAATTAATGGTATGTTTAATATGGGTAATATAGAGCTTTTTATTTCATTCTCTTCATAGAGCTGATCTTTCGTATTATTTCTGTATTGCCCTCAGTTACTACACACTCAAATTTCGCAAAAATATTACAAATGCTCGTGTAACGAAAGTTTACGTTAATACATTCCTTTTGAAGCAAGGAATGATGTATTTTGTTTAAAATAGGTATTCCTGTCATTTTACGTGAACTTCCTGACTCTAGTTATGACAGATTAACACACCTGCGTCAAATACGTGCTTTTGAAAAAAGTTACTGGCGTTAAAATTAATTCTTGTAAAGAGAAACGGATGCATGCTGTTAATCAGAAATGTGACGAATACCGGCAAATAAAGGAAAATAAAAAAACTAGATAAACTAGTTGTCGGAAAAGTAGACAAAATGTATTCATTGTTCAAGGTGAAAGATAGTTTAGGTAAATAGTTAGTTTCCTTACTATTGTTTGAATATATGAAAGCAGCAAAACAATCGTTGAAGATGTAGTTTGCTGGCGATTCGTAAACACAAAATAAATCATACAATTTTTACTAAATATTTATACAAATAATCAAAACACTAGATTAGAAGATATTAATGAAATTAAATAAAAATTGTAATCCGTTCTTGTATGTAGAAAGTTGATTGATATTTTTCGTCTTATTGTCAAATCTAAAACGACACAAGGGCTCATCACTTTCTTAAAAAGGGGAGGGGTTTTTTAATAGTGATAGAAATTGATTTAATTAATACCCCTTTACGTTTTTTTGTTTAATGTCAGAAAAAAATTAAGTTTTTTTTCTTTTCTGCTGTCTACTTAGAAAACTTAGTTATTATTTTTTTTATTACATTTTGTTACTACTATTTTTTTTAAAACTTTTAGTGTCTGTTAGCCTGTTTATGTCGATGATAAAATGGCGTTAAATTTTGGTTGTAGTGCTCAAGGAACTATAGAAACTTTGATTGTCCTTAGGCACGTTCTATTATTGTCATATAATAAAAACAAATTTGTGGTCACAGAATTTGTCGAAATCTCAGAATTTGTCGAAAAGTGGTAGGAATTTTTATATACGATCATGATTTAGGGAGAGGGCGGGAGGTTTGAAGCTGCACCCCCAAGCCCCCTAGAGTTATATTGCAGCCCCTGTTTTTATATTTTGAGTGTAATTTCAGGTGTTATTGTTTCCTCTCTATTTTTATTATTATTATTGTAAAATTTTGAAAACTCTACTTATAATATTACAAAAATAAGGTTGTCTTTTATTGCTTTATGAAAACTCATAAAAAGTTTATCCTTCTGCCAGGGTGTACTTCATGTAAATATCTAAAATTAAATTATCTTTTTTTTAATAAAAGAAAAAGGAGAAAATCCACATCCCAGAAACAATGTCTTTCAAGAAGCTGTAGTTTCAAAATTATGAATTAGACACCATTAGTTGTTAAATTTTTTGCTAAAATCCTTGATAATACTTGAACAGTCCACCCAATTTTTGGTTTTCGACTACCAATATTCAAACCCGTAGCCTTGTAAATTTGTACCCAATCCAGAAGACAAGGGAACTCCTAGATCAAGTATTACGAGAAATCCGCTATAGTGGAGAACTTTTTGATGGAACTAATCCGCATTTGCGCTACATGGAAAGAAAAACCACGAAAACTTCCCATGGTTAGTCTGACGGCAAGGGGACTCTTACCCATGATCCGTCTACAACTGAGAAAATTTTACGTCATACTGTGGTTGGTGCCAGTCCGATGCGGAATTCGTATTTTGGAACACCTCATTAGAAGGCAAACGCTCTATTTCCTGAGCCACCAGGGATCATTATGAAATAATTAAAAAGTTTTGAGGGTTTATGAGATTGCCCGAATATAACAAGTTAGGCAAATAAAAATTTCCTTTTCAAAATATGTAAAATATATTGCCATCGATAAATTAATCAATGTTGAAACTCAACTTAATCTTTTTCTAATTATATATTTTTCAAATAACTCTTATTTCATATGATAAATAACTAATAACTAATTTTATCTTCTTTTGTTTAGTCTGTTTCTCTTAACTAATCCCATGTATTTTATTTCCAGTTTTGTTTTCTTTCAAAATGTTAACTATTGAAAAAACATAAATTTAATATGTTTTTCTGTGTGCTTTAGATATTTAAAATAATTGTAAGCATAAACTGAAAAAAAGAATTTTACTGATGAAAAATATTTATATTTGTAATTTGTTGCAGGATTTTTTTTATCGCTTTGATTAAAAACTTAATTCTATTGAACTAAAAATTAGTCACATTTATTTATAGAAACAAAAATTAATGTTTACTAAAATTGAAACATTTCAAAGAGCGGTTCTTTTTAACACTTCTGTATGTATCATATTTGAATGAAATTAAAAAATTTAAAAATTTACATGATTTTGAAATATACATATAATCAAATTTTTAATGTAATGTATAATGCTCTAAGTTATGCACATGCCCCAGACCGCTTCACTCCTTGCTCCAGCCCTACAGGCAATAAATTCTACGAGATCCAATTCTCTTTGTAGTGGCCAGGAAAAAACAATAGACACGAAGCTCCAGCAGAAATTTTAGTGCTCTAGTTATTCGGACATTGGTTGAAATTTGAATTGCAACGAGTTCGCTTTTACAAATATGAAAGCGAGTCAATAAAATCTTAGCAAAAGTAAACAATTAAGTACATAAATTAACAAAAAATTTCTCATGTATAGCGTTTTCATTTAACGGCATTCACAGCCAAAATAAAAATTTAAATTTACCCTGCCTCGTCTTTAAATGGTCGCTTTACTTAGAAGGCAGTTATAGATTAAATACACTTAACGCAAAAAAGTTTTTGATATATTTTTCATAAATAAAAATTTCGTTTTTTGTGACATTCATTTATACTTATTTATCCATTTTAAATTTCAAAATAACCTATAACTATTTTGTAAGGCACCTTGTTACATTCTCAGCTTTCCTAATGCTTCGAAGTTATGATGGAACGACGCACGTAAGTGAACAGAATATTTTTAAAATTTTGAAAACACTCGAAACCAAGTATTCAGGATATGTTTCAATTATTATTAAATCATGGTGACCAAAATTATTTTGAATCGATTTTTATTTTTCAAAATAAGAATCAAATATTAAATCATAAATTTTGACACCACTTGAAGAATTTTTTAGCTTTTAATTTCCGGAACTGATTCAGAGTAATTCCTATTGTTGTCGTCATAGGCCATTAATGTACTGGGGTGCGATTGTTCTTGTCTTCCAGTGGCGCCATTTATGGCTAAGAATTTGATTTCTATCACACCTGTTTACAGGGTGGACTCATTCATTCATCCTCAGCTCGCTCGTAATTTTAACCAGAAAGTGATCAAGCTCCAATCCAGTACCCCCAGAAGTATAATTTGTGACCCATGGAGAACTTTGTGTTCCGACAGATCTATCGTGCACCAGTCACAATTTACTACACGGGGAGTCTTCAATTACCCCTTTCGCGTCATCTTACTTATATGCCAATTCTCTTATTTTCCGAAATATCAATTAAAAAATAACCGATTTACTGACTCCCTTCCCTTTTTTTCTCTCTCCTTTTTTTCCCCTTTATTCTCTCGCTGTATCAAGAATCATTGTGACGATTTCCTTTGATAAAAAAGTACAAAAGCAAATAAATAAAATGAACTAGAAAATCATGAGAAAAATGAAAACAAAATTGTGATGACACCTAACTTAAGGTCTCGCTGTGGACTGATCATAAAGACACGGTTCCCAGCAAATCACCGAAGTCAAGCCTCACTGGCTTCGGTCAGTGTACGGGTGGGTGACCACTTGGATTAGTCTGCGTAGGGACCTAGGGTATGCGGTATTGATCCTAGTTGAACTGTTCTACCGTAAAGTGCTGGACTTTGCGTGCAGGTCGTTGGGCTACCGAAGTGCCATCCCCTCTGCAGAGGATCAAAATTGTGATAGCATTTCTTCGGATCATCCTCAGGGATGTTTTCCAGCCCGTCGCCAATAGCCCATTGTGCAGCTCTAGTGCGACGTAAATGAACTACAACAGCCTAACTTAAGTTTTTAAGTTTTTTAAATTTCTAAAAAACTTTAAAATTAAAAAAAAAAGAAATTGAACCAAAAATATGCGAAAAAAATTTTTAGAATATCAAAATTGTTCAATAAATGAAATTTAATGAATTTGGGTCTGTTTACCTGTTAAAAATTTTTAAAACCAAAAATATAAAACTCTTGTTTTATGCGATTAGAAATAAAAACGAATTCTCTATAAAAAAAATATTAACTAACTAAAAATTCAGGAAAAATTAAGAAAAAAATTAAGATATATATCAGGGCTCTTAAAACCAATAAAACAAAACGTTTAAAAAAAAACTTGTTGCATTGATTGACAGTAAACGTGGAATTTCTTGTGAGCAACTTGAGGAAAGATGATAGCAAAACTTTTTAAAACCATTAAAGTTATTCATGATATAATCGACGCTTAGTTAATCATGATATAATCGAATAAAGCAATAATTCTAACGACGAAATTAGGAACTTCCCAATCCGTTTAGTCCCGCCAATTGACGTTTAATTTCCTTTTTCATGCCTGCGATACGTAAATCTTCGGAAACGAAAGTGCAATTTCCAAGTTCACGAAATACTTTTTTTTTCTTTTCAAAGCCTTTGAGAGAGAAAAACTTGTTGCATGCGATAAGCGAAATCCTCACCTGTAGTGTAGAAAAGTAGGAAAGCGGAAAAGGCGAAAAAGCGAGCGGTATTTCCATAGGTTGATTGTTACAGTGACGACATGAATTTTAAGATTAAAGAAGTTTTTGGTGCCAACTTAAAATAAGAACGCCAAAGTGGTTTCCAGTCAAGTTCTGTGTGTTCTCTTTTGGTAGTTTGTATTCATTAATATGCTATTACAGTTAGATTGGTATCGGTAGTTAATGTGTTTAAAGTTATGGATAAATTGGGAAATACAGAATTGTTTTGGGAAGATGCTGTGGTCATAGCATTTTATTTTGTTATGATTTTAGCAGTAGGAGCATGGGTGAGAATTTTTATTTATTTTTATTTTTAAATGCCATATTCCTAATTATTTAAAGACAATTGATATTTTTAATGAACGACTACTAATCTTAATTTTTAAATCATTGAAAGTACATATATTTTCATTCAATCAGATATTATTACTTATAATAAATTTTTAAATTTTATTTTTCTTAATTATTTCAGCAAAACAAGTAGCTTTGATTTAATTAATTTTAAAACAATATATTGATTATGCTTTTTTAGTTGCTGCTGCATTCCAACAGTTTTTCACCAATTTAAAAACATTATTACTTTTTATTATTCAAAAGATTTAATATTTTTTTAAAGAAATTTTTAAGAAAAATATGTTAGTTAGTGTAGTTATGAAAATAGTTGTTCGTTTTTGTTTTTTAATTTGTTGACAATTACTTTTAATTTGCAGTCCATTTAATTTCCAAATTTGCAGATATTAATTAAACAAATTTTCAAATAGTTGAAAAATTATTCAGTATTTAGTTTGCTGTCATTAATGTATTTGTAGTTGTTTCACTATTGTATTAGTTAACAAAAATTGTGTAAAGCTGCCCTCATTGCCAAATTTGTCTGTCACAATTTTCTGATTAAGTCACTAAGTTTGTAAATGAAGAGTAGCATAATAATTAATTATTAAAAGAGCAATATTGATTAATAAATCTAAAAATTTATTTAAATCTTGTTATCTATATACTTTTGCTATTAATTATATATTTTTTAAAACATACTATAATTATAAGAAATTAAAAATAAGAAAGAACTATGAGTAGTTTTTAAAGAAATAAACATATGAACAACCGACAACGTGTTTTGATGCTATTATTTTTAGTCATAAAAAATTTACAAACTATATGGTTGAGCAGATAAAAGCCATGAGATATCTGGGGAATTTTGTCTAGCAAAATTTGGAACTTCGTCTAGGTAAGACATATAGGTGATCCCATATATAACCCAGAAGTATCCGTTTAAATCAGATTCATTAAGATTTCTTTCGCGATATAAAATAAGTAGATTTCTATACTCAAAGTTATATTGAAAGGAACACTGAAATCAAATTAATTAGATAACAAATATTTTGCAATTCAATAGATTAAAATTTTGTTAAATTGATACCTGCAAGTGACGTAGTGTGGGTGTCTCCATCCTGATGGGCCGTTGAAACGTAGCATTTGTTAACTGTTCTTGTTTTAGTGTTCCTAAGGATAACCCGGAGATATGCCATCGCAATTTTGATTCTCTGCAGAGGGGATGGCTCCCCTGATTTGGTAACCTGACGACCTGCGGTGAAATCGAGCACTTTACGGGAGAACAGTTTAGCGGGGACATATACAGCGCACCCTCAGTCCCTACGCAGGCGGATCAACGTGGTCACCCACCCGCTTGCTGACCGCTGCCGAGTTTATGAAGGTACTTTATTTGAAAAGAACAGGTAATATTTTCGACTTGTTATAGTTATGATCAGGCGTTACAATGGGATGAAGCTACATTTATAAGAAATGAAAGAGTTCACCCTTCTCCAAATAGAGAGAGGGAGCAATAGCGGTAACAGCCCTGAGCATCTAGACAAAGGTGGCATCCAATGACTTAGTACGGATATTAAAAATATTAAACACATTGCTGTTATTTTATTGCATAATAAAATTTTTAAACAAATGTTTGTTCCATGAAGAACAGTAGGATTTTAAAATAGGGACGAGTATGGACGTTAGAATCCTTAAGAGAATAAAGATCGCCTATAAAATTAAAATGTTGTATTAAAAAAGAAAAAAGGAAATTAGTTTTTACTATTGAATAAATATACAGCGCGCAAAAAAAAAGCGAACCTCCTTGTATAATTTTTTATCTAATCAAGTTTAGATGGTTTAAGGGGTTAATTTCAAATATGGTAATTTATAAGTGCAGATAATATTTTAATTACGAAATTAGACACAAACACTCGCTTTCTCTAAATAAAAAAATCTTTTTTTTTTCGACGGCTACGGATTTCTGAGTCCCAAAATATAAAGGTTAGCCGCAATCTGGGAAATATGGTCCCAATAGTTTGGTCAGGAGAGCGATTCAAAGTCCGAACCCTTTAATGCTGGTTTTACTTTTTGTGTATTTCACCATATCTCGTGAATTTTTTAATCCAATTGAAAATTTTGCTCACAATTATAAAATTTGTTTATCCAAAGATGATTCCATGCAAGAAAACAACTTTTAGCAAATNCTGAATTTCGTAGGCCCTAGGCACGTGCCTAGTGTGCCTATAGGTTAATCCGGCCCTGGACTGATTTAATTAACTTATACTCTGTATTTAATTAACTTATCGTTAATTAACATTCTAATTTATGTAGAGAAACTTAACTAAACTTTAATACACCATTTTGCTGATAAAGATCAGACTGATTTAATTAACTTATGCTCTGTATTTAATTACCTTATCGTTAATTAACATTCTAATTTATGTAGAGAAACTTAACTAAACTTTAATACGCCATTTTGATGATAAAGATCAGACTGATTTAATTAACTTATGCTCTGTATTTAATTAACTTATCGTTAATTAACATTCTAATTTAAGTAGAGAAAGTTAGCTAAACTTTAATACTCCATTTTGCTGATAAAGATCAGACTGATTAACTGACGTCAGAGATTAACTGACGTCATAGGTCACAAGTGTGGGTATGGGCCCCACATTTTTGGGGCTTCTTTAATGTTACAAATATTTTTTTTCCCTTAAGAATTGTCTAATCGAATTATGAATAAACGAAAATTGAAATATAAGCAGAAATTTACTAATATATCGTAATTTATTTATGTTATAAATAATTTAAAAACACTTTATACCTAAGCAAAGTGTAAATTTGGTTTAAAGTAACGACTAGGGCGCTCCTGACAGTATTGAGTCTAGGGCCCCCCATTTCCAAATCAGGCCCTGCATATAGTTGAATATAATTTTACAGTTTTTTTAAGGACGATTATCCAAAATCATTCTTTATTAATGCAGCATCACGCTCTTTTCGTATTTTAACGGCAGGGAAAATCGTTTTAATTAATTTAAAAGTCAGTAAAATAAGGACAAATTTGTTTTACACGAATATGAAAAAATAAAAATAATACCTAGAGACTAGATACCTGAAAGATTCGAAGTAAAGTATAAGATATTCGCAGAAATAATATTTTATTATTACTAAACGATCAAGAAAACGTATTGTGTAACTTTCTATTGTCATCTTAGGATTACAAATAAAGCTAATTCCTTTAGGGAAAATAGATTTAAAATTAGTTTTTTTCAAAAACCTTGTGTAGGATGTAGAATTTTAAATTACTCGACAAATTACGTAATCATACAAAAATGTAATTTCAGAAATCGCAAACTTAAACAAATCATGACTTTTGCTATGGAAATAGGCATTCTAACACGCAAAATAACATTATTTGATGAGCGTTAAAGACAATACAATAGCACTATGATCACGTGACTATTTCTAGGAAATAAGTGTATGAACAGCGGTTTTGCAACATTGGAATTTTCAAACTACTCTTCATTCCATTTTATTAGTGAATAATGTTGAAGGAAATATTAAAGATTCTTAGCATGCTTAACTTATTATATTTCTTTTTAACCAGATATAACGTCATTTTTTTTCTATTAATGCAATGTTAAAATATATTTGGGATTGAGAAAGATTTATAAAGAGAAATTCATTTAGCTTATTATCTAAGATAAATATAGTTCCTTAGACTAATTTTTTGGTGTAAAGATGTGTGGTATTTTCAAAATTTTACCTACTGTACAAAATTGACCGTAAACTTGAACTTCTGTGCTTATACACAACGGGTTTTATAAATTCACTGTTAATAACTATAAATAAACTAGTTGAGAAATGTTCAAATAAACGAACGCATAACACAGAAAGGAGGAAAAAAATTCCCAGTGTTGGCCACTTTTCTTGATCCCACGAGGACCTTTACTGTTACCCACATGTATGTAAACAAAACCCTTCATTTTTTCCTTCTGTATTTTTTAATGTTATATGAAAATTAAAAAAAATTAACGTTTGAAAATGAATGATATAAGTGGGAAGAATATTTCATATATATATATATATATTTACTGTGTGTGTGTGTGTG